GAAACAGTTTTTCCCGGTTCAACCTATCAAATCCTCTCATGATCTTGAAAACCTCTATTAAATCCCCTCTTAATCTTCTCTGCTTCAGGGAGAATAATCCTAGTTTCGCTAACCTCTCCTCATCACTAAGGTCCTTCATTCCTGGTACCATCCTGGGAAACCTCCTTTGCGCCCTCTCCAATGCCCCAACATCTTTCCTAAAGTGCGGTGCCCAAAACTGAACGCAGTCTCCAACTGAGGCCTAACCAGCATTTTATAAATATTCAACATAACCTCCTGACTTTTGTACTCTATGCCCCTATTTATAAAACCTAGTATCCCGGATGCTTTTTAACTGCTTTGTCTTCCTGTCCTGCCACCTTCAGAGATGTGGACCCCCAGATCTCTCTGTTCATTTGCCCCCTTTAGGACTGTCCCATCAGCTTATATGACCTCTCCTCATTCTTCCTATCCAAATGCAGCATTTCACATTTCTCCACATTACACCTCATCTGCCACGTTTCTGCCCATTTTACCAGTCTGTCTAAGTCCTCTTGGAGTCTGGTGCTGTCCTCCTCACCATTAACTGCTTTTCCTAGCTTAGTATCACCTGCACATTTGGAAACTGCTCCCTATATCCAGGTCCAGATCATTATATAGATCAGAAAGAGCAGTGGTCCCAATACCGACCCCTGAGGGACACCACACACCCCTCCCTCCAGTCAGAAAAGCAACCGTTTACTACCACTCTCTGCTTTCTGACTCCTCACCAGTTCTGGATCCATGTTGCCACAGTCCCTTTAATACCGTGGGCTTCTATTTTGTTTATAAGTCTCTTATGTGGCACTTTGTCAAATGCCTTTTGAAAATCTAAATAAACTACATCTATTGCACTACCTTCATCCACCCTCTCAGTCACTTCATCAAAAAACTCTTATCAGGTTTGTCAGACACGATCTGCCTTTAACAAATCCGTGTTGACTGTCCTTTATTAAACCATATTTTTCTAAGTGAGAATTTATTTTGTCCCGAATTATAGTCTCCAGAAGTTTCCCTACTACTGCTGTTAGGCTGATTGGCTGTAGTTCTCAGGTTTATCATTCTGCCCCTTTTTGTACAGGGGAGTAACATTTGCAGCCCTCTGGCACCACTCGTGTCCGAACATGATTGAAAGATTGTGGCCAGAGCCTCCACTATTTCCACCCTTGCTTCTCTCAATAACCTAGGATGCATCTCGTCCGGACCGGGTGACTTATCTATGTTGAACACCGACAGCCTTTTTAGTACTTCCTCACTGTTGATTTTTACCATATCCAATTTCTGTTCACACCCCTGTGATATTGTGGCATTGGTTGCATTGTCTTCTTTTGTGAAGACAGTTGCAAAGCACTTATTTAGTACATCAGCCATACACTCCATCTCAACAAGAAGATGTCCACTTGGGTCCCTAATTGGACCCACTCTATCTTTGACTAACCTTTTACTCTTGATATGCTTATAAAATACCTTAGAGTTCCCTTTTTTGTTTCCTGCTAATCTTTTGTTGTACAATCTCTTATAGATTCATAGATTCATAGAATGTTACGGCACAGAAGGAGGCCATTCGGCCCATCGAGTCTGTGCCGGCTCTTTGACAGAGCAAGTCACTTTCACTAACCCCAATCACCAGCTTTCTCCCCATAACCCGTCTTCCCCCGATACCTGTCCAGTTCTCTCTTAAAAGCTGTTATCGAATCGGACTTCACTGCCCTTTCGGGCGGATCATTCCAAATTCCAACAACTCGCTGAGTGAAAACATTTCTTCTAACCTCCCCTCTGCTTCTTTTGGTAGATATCTTAAGACTCTTCTCCCCTCTTATTTCCCTTTTCACTTCTCCTCTGTACTTCCTATATTCTATTTGATTATCCTGTGTGTTTTGGACCTGACATTTGTCATAAGCCTCCTTTTTCTGTTTTATTTTAATCCCAATTTCCTTCGTCATCCAGGGAGGTTTGACTGTCCTACGTTTCTCCTTTGTGGGAATGTATTTGCTCTGTCCCCACTTCATTCCCCAGAACTAAATCCAGCAATGCTTCCTTCCTCATTGGGCTGGAAACATGCTGATCCAGAAAGTTCTCCTGCACACATTTCAGGAATTCCTCCCCTTCCTTGCCCTTTACACTGTTTGTTTCCCAGTCTATGTGAGGGTAATTGAACTATTCTAATTATCACTATTCTATTGGTTTTGCATCTCTCCAAAATCTGCTGCAGATTTGCTCATCTATCTCCTTCCCACTATTGGAGGTCTACAGTAAATACCTAACAGAGTAACAGCTCCTTTTCTGCTCCTTAACTCTAACCAAATAGATTCAGTTTTTGGTCCCTCTAACACATCGTCCTTTTCCAGGACCGTGACCCTAATGAGTTGCCACCCCTCCTCCTTTTTTTCCTTCCCTATCCCTCCTGGATAGGTTGTAGCCAGGAATATTCAGCTCCCATTCCTGCCCTTGCTTGAGCCAAGTCTCCATAATTGCCACTACATCATAGCCCCATGTGGCACCTTGAGCCGCAGATCACCAAGCTTATTGGGCACTCTCCGTGCATTAACACACATGCAATCCAATACCGGCATAATCCGCTCTACATTTCTCCTCCGTCTTTTTCCACTTTTTGCTGGACTATTCCTTGTTTCGTTTCTATTCGTTTCTCCTCGTCCACTATGTGGCTCATTTCCCCTCCCTGATGCAACATTCTGATCCCCATCCCCCCTCAACATCAGTTTAAACGCTTCCCCACATCATTTGTTATCCTTGTTACAATGACATTGGTCCCAGCCCTGCTCAGGTGTAACCCATCCCTTGTGTAAAGGTCCCATCTGCCCCAGAAGTGGTCTCAGTGGTTTAGAAACCTGAAGCCCTCCTTCCTGCACCATTTCTCCAGCCAGACATTCATGTGTTTGATCCTCCCGGTTTGGTATTCACTTGCAGAAGGCATTGGGAATAATCCCGAGATCACCACCATTGAGGTCCTGCTCTTTAGTTTCTTCTCAAGCTTCTGATATTCCCCTGGAGGGTCTCAGCCCTTTTTTCACCTACATCATGGATCCCGACATGGACCACAACTTCCGGATTTTCCCCTTCCCCCCTTTCCATGACATCATGCACCCTGGCCCCAGGGAGGCAGCATACCATGCGCGAGTCCTATCTTTTATGGCAGAAACGCCTGTCTATCCCTTTATCTGTTGTATCACCGATACCAACAGCGTTGGCGTTTTTCCCCTTGTCCCCCTGAACATCCATTACCTTTTGACTCTTCTCGCCAGTGGCGTCCTCACCAAGTACCAAGAACCGGTTTGTGAGTGCCACACTCTTAGGGGATTTCTGTACTGCCAATTCTTTATTTGCTCCACATCAGATGGTCACCCACTTACCCTTCTTCTGAACTCTCCGTAGCTGTGGGGTGACCACCCCCTGAACTCCCTGTGGCTGTGGGGTGACCACCTTCTGAACTCCCTGTGGCTGTGGGGTGACCTCCTCCTCAAAAGTTTGATCCATAAGTTCTTCAGCCTCCCGTATCCTATGTAGTGACTGTAGCCTCTCCTCAAGCTCAGGGACCCTGAGCTCAAGCTCAAGCAGCCGGAGGCACTTCCGTGTCCAGAGTATATGAACCATCCTGGAGTTCCCACTTGGCACACAATGTGCACGGAATGGGTCTCAGCTGCCCTGCCAGGTTTTCAGACAGGTTTTGTGATTGATTGATTAAGTTCTTCGATGAGATAATGGAGAGGGTTTATGAATATAGTGCAGTTGATGTTGTGTACATGGACTTTCAAAAGGCATTTGATAAAGTGCCACATAAGACTTGTCAGCAAAGTTGAAGCCCATGGATTAAAATGATCCGAAATTGGCTGGAGGGAACTATGCAGTGATGTCGCTCACTGGTATTAGGTATTGGTATTAGAACCACTGCTCTTTATGGTATATGTGAATGACTTGGACTTGGTATAGAGAACAACATTTTAAAGTTTGCAGATGAAACAAAACTTGGAAGCATAGTAAACAGTGAGGAGACGGTAGCAGACTGCAGAAGCACATATATAGGCTGGTGAAATGGGCAGACACATGACAGATTGAATTTAATGCACAGAAGTGTGAAATGATGCATTTTCAGAGGAGGAATGAGGAGAGGCAATATAGGATAAATTGTGCAGTTTTAAAGGGGCAGAGCAGAGAAGACCTGGAGGTTCACATACACAAATCCTTTAAGGTGGCAGGACAAGTTGACAAAGCATATGGGATCCTTGGCTATATAAATAGAGGGATAGAGCACAAAAGCAAGGAAGTTATGTTGAACCTTTATAAATCACTGGTTAAGCCTCAGCTGGAGTATTGTGTCCAATTCTGACCCAGACTTTAGGGAGGATATCAGGGCCTTGTATCAAGGATGCAGAGCAGAGGAGATTTACCAGAATAGTACATGGATGAGGGACTACACTATGTGGAGAGATGAGAGCGGCTAGGATTAACCTCCTTAGAACAGGGAAGGTTAATAGAGCTGTTATGAGGGGTTTTGATTGAGTAGATAGGGAGTAACTGTTTCCTCTGGCAAATGGGTTGGTAACCAGGGGCATAAATTCAAAATAATTGGCAAAAGAACTCGAGGATAGACGAGAATTTGTTTTACCTGTATAAGTCAGATTTTATATGACTTACACATATATATGCAAATCTCACACACTCTCAGTCTCTCTTTCTGTCTCTCTCCCACTCTCTCTCTCACTCTCTCTCTCTCTTACACACTCTGTCTCACTGTCTCACACACTCTCATGCTGAGTATCTCTCTCACATACATACTCTCCCAGATTCTCTCCCTCACACACACTCTCAAAGAGAGAGTGACGAAAAATACAACTTGTAAGTAATATAATATGTAGGAACCTCTCACAACTCTCCCTCTCTCTTACACACTCTATCCCAGTCTCTCGTTCAGTCTCTCCCTCTCTGGGTCTTTCTCTCTCATCTCTCTTTCTCAGTCTCTCTCACTATACATCTGTCAGTCTCTCCATCTCTAAGCTCTCAGTCTCTGTCTCTCTCACAGAGAGGGAGACTTAAAACCTGATTTGTACATAACTCTGTATAAGTCATATAAAATGAGATTCTCACACAGAGAAGGAGATGTAAAATATTACTTATAAGTCATATAATATATGAATTACGCAAAGTTTTGTGTAAGTTGGATTTTATATGACTTGCTACTTTATATGATTTGCTAAATACACAAGTACAACACACCTCTCTGTCTCACTCTTACATACTCTCCCCCAGTCTCTCTCTCCCAGTCTTTCTCTCAGTGTCCCTCTCTCCCAGTCTCGCTCGTTCAGTCTCTTGTTGGCTCTCTCTCATTTCTCTCTCTCTTTCAGTCTCTTTCTCTCAGTCTCCCTCTCTCTCATTTCTCTCTCTCACTCACTCAGTCTCTCTCTATATATCTTTCAGTATCTCCATCTCACAGTCTCTCTCTCTCACACATTCCCTCTGATATTCTCTTTCTGTCACACTCTCTCACAGAGAGACTTAAGTCAGGGAGACATAAAACCTGACTTGTAAATAACTTTGCATCAGTCATATAAAATATGACCTGCGCAAAGTTATGTATAAGTCAGACTTTATATAAGTATACACAAGTACACCACAAAAGATTCTCTCACATGCGTTCACTCAGTCTCTCTTTGTCAATCTGTCCCACACACACTCTCTATCTTACACTCTCACACTCTCTCTCTGTCTCTCTGACACTCTGTTTCACTCTCTGCCTCACTCTCTGTCTCACTCTCTCTTACACTCTCTGTCACATTCTCTGTCTCATTATCTATGTCTCACTCTCTCACACTCTGTTTCACTTTCTTTCTCCCACACCCTCCCCACCGAGGCAGATATATCTCTCCCTCCCTCGCTCACTCGTCCAACCAAAATGCAACCTCACCCGACGGACAATCAACCCTTGCTTCGAGGCATGAACGAACGACTCAGAGTGATCAGAAAAGATGGGAAGAGCAATGTCAAAATGGAGAATGTGGTGGACAAGCCATGGTTATATCTCAAAGACCTGTGGACCACCTTGATAGACATCCCCTGGAGATACAAATTAGCCATTTTCTCAGCTACGTTCGTAGGAACTTGGTTTGCATTTGGAACTATTTGGTTTTTGGTAGCTTGGCTCCATGGAGATTTAGTGGATTCTCAAATCTCATCCAATCACACGCTCTGTGTGGTCAACATGCAAAGTCTCACTGCTTCCTTCCTGTTCTCGTTGGAGTCCCAAACCACGATTGGTTACGGTTTTCGCTACATCTCTGAAGAATGTCCGCTTGCGATCATCCTTCTTGTCGCCCAGTTGGTTCTCACAAGTGTTTTGGAGATCTTTCTCACGGGAACGTTGCTCGCAAAGCTTTCTCGCCCTAAAAAACGTGCCTCAACCGTCAGATTCAGCCACTTTGCTGTGGTAGGAGAAGATCAAGGCAAAGTCTATCTCATGTTCCGTGTGGCAAACGTCAGACGGAGCCTTCTCATTGGTTGTGAGGTCCGAGCTAAGCTTATACGCACTTCGGTCTCCACCAATGAGCTGAGCATCAGACAGTTGGATGTTGAGTTTGGGGTTGACTCGTCCAACACAAATTCTCCCTTCCTCCTCCTCCCCATGACCTTCTACCATCTCATCGATGAAAAAAGCCCATTCCGAGAGGTTGCTTTAGGAGCTGAGGAACAAGAGTTTGAGCTAGTCGTGGTTTTATGTGGAACTGTAGAGCCTACAAGCTCAACTTGTCAAATTCGAACATCCTACCTGCCTCAAGAGATACTTTGGGGTCACCAATTCCATCCCCTGTTCTCCGTTTCACCCCGGGGAAAATTGGTAGCTAATTTCGCCAACTTTGACCTCACCGTTCGTGCAGTGACCTCTCATGCCATCCTTGACATGCTCAAGGAGAATCAGGAGAAGGAAAAAGAGCCTCGCTCAAGAAATGTTAGGATAAGTAATGTTTGAGAGGTTCTGGTCTGTCCGTGTCTCTCGTTCGGAACGTCCCTTCGCTTCTCAAGCCTCCATCTTGCACCTTAATCCATCTCCTAACTCCCCAAGTCTCTATCCATTTCCCTCTCACACATCAATTCATCCCCTGACTCGATCGAGAGAGAGAGAAATATGTTCACCAGAAATTCAATCCATTTAACCTGGGAATATTTTAGACATTTTGAAGATATATATTTAACTTTTTAACACGTTTAAAAATACTCATTTTGCCAACACAACCCTGTGTTGAATTATAACTCCTCACCCCCAGAGACAGTCTCACGGCTTATATTTACACAGCACCTTTCACCCCCAGAGAGATGTCTCAAGTGCTTCCCAGGACTTCCCACGCTTGTAAAAGTGTGGTGACTGTGTGTTTAACTCATTAACCGTGACATCCCTGTAAATAGCCGTGGAGCAAGTGAGCGGTTTTATCTGTCGGCCAGGACACCAGGAGAGGGAGGCTGAGCGACAGAAAGTGTGAGATAAGAGAGTGAGAGTGTGTGTGTGAGAGAGCGCGAGAGAGAGAAACTCCCTTTTCTTTAACGTCCGCCCTGAACAGAGCACGTGAATGAGATTCAGCGTCTCTGACAATGTGGCGTGGTCTCTCTTTTCGTCTCTCTCTCTGTCCAGCTCTGTGCTGGAGCTTCAGCTTAGACTGAGCAGGCTGTGAGTTCTGATGTATGTGGTGGTGGGGGGATGGGGCTCGAAACAATTACCTTCTGACTCGCAGAAGAGAGAGAGAAAGAGAATGAGAAATGGAGGAGAGAGACACATGCACACACACACAAATACTGTAACATTTTCTATTCAGAATAAAACTGTTAACTCACAACAAACTGTATTTTTATTTATCTATTGTCGCATTCTCACACTCCGTCTCTCTTCCCAGATTTGTCTCTCCCTCCATTTCACTCGCTCTCTCCATCAATCACAGAGATTTTCTCTCTCTGTCTCCCTTCGTCTTTCTCAGTCTCACTGTCACTCTCATTCTCTCTCTCTCAGTCTCTCTCTTATTCTCTAAGTCAACCTTAGCACTGCAACGTTGTGTGAGGGGAGCTGTGTGTGAGAGAGACCCAAAGTGAGAGAGAGAGTGTCAGAGAGACAGAGACAGTGAGACAGACAGAGAGCGCGAGTGTGTGTGTGAGAGAGGGAGAGATTGAGAGGGAGACAGAAAAAGACACAGTGAGAGGGATGGAGTGTGTGACAGAGGGAGGTTGAGACAAAGAGATTGAGAGACAGAGAGAGATTCAGAGTATTTGTGTGTGTGTGAGAGAAGAGAGACTGTGAGAGAGACAGAAAGAGATACTTGACTGAGAAACTGTGTTCGTGTATATGTCAGAGATTGTATATGCTTGTGTGTGAGGGAGTGTGAGAGAGCGCAAGAGAGTGTGAGTTGTGTGTGTGCACAAGGCTTGCTTACAGGCACTTACAGTGTGTTTCTCCCTCTCAAATACATAGACACACTCTGTTTCTCTCAAAACAGGTACAATTCAGTCACCGTATAACAACAACAACAAAATTACATGCGTAAAGTGTGTTTCACGTCGGGAGGACATCCCAAGGTGCTGGACAGACAGAGTTACGGACCTGAGCTGGAGGTTGGGGTCGAGGAGGGTGGAAGGCAGGGGGGGAAGCATGGAGATCGAAAGGACGGTCGAAGAGGAGGGTCTTGAGGTGGGTCTTGAAGGTGGGGAGGGAGAGGGTGAAGCGGAGTATAAACACTGGTAAAGAGTGTATTAAGAGGTTAGACTCTGTGTCTTGTGTGAGAGACAGAGAGTGGATAAAGTGAGAGAACATTGGGGATGATTTCATAAAGCTACCAATTTCTCATTCAAAGTTATCCGAGCTTGTGTCAGATTTGATAGACACATCACCATCAACAGGGCCTGTCAAAAAGATTGAATTCAATTTAAAATTCTCACATTTACACAGCCCTTTTACCCCCCCACCCCAACCAACCTGCCCCCCAACCCACCTCCCCACCACCACCACCCCCACCCCCCACCGAGAGACATTTCACGGTTACAGAGAAAGAGGGAGAAACAAAAAGGATAAAGATAAAGATAGATGGACATAGAGAAAGAGACAGCAGAGAGAGACCACACACACACATAGAAAGTGAGAAAGACTGACAGCCAGAGAGACGGTGGAGAGAAAGGGACAGAGGAGACAGAAAGAAAGAGACTACTGCAGAATGATAGTCAGAAAAAAGGACATAGAGAGAAAAGGAACATAGAGAGAGAAAGAGACGGAGGGACACTCACTCACGTTGATGTTGGTATTCAGCATTGTCTTAAAATCCTCGACTGAAATTCAGGGAACTTTATTCACCAAATAATCCTCGTATTTGATATACTGCCTTCAGACGTCTTCGAGACGTCTTTGAGATTCTGAAAGCACTTCACAAAATATACTGTTAAGTGAATTGACTGTATATTTTGTGGGTGAAACACGGCAACCATGTCCCACAAACAGTCGTGGGTTAATGACCAAATAATTATATATATTTTGAAGGAATTTTTATCCCCCAAAAAGCGATCCGTCAATCAACTAACGGCTGAGTTCCTACTTACTGCTAGGTAGACAGGTATGTGGAGAAAGGAAATAGCCCAACATTTCCATCAAAAAGTGTCCAAGATTGTTATCAGCTGTCACTTTCTCCAGTCAGCTGTATGTTTGTCTGAGAGCGAAAGACCGAAAGAGAGAGAAAGACTGAGAGAGAGAGAGCGCGAGAGAGAGTCTGAGAAAGAGAGAAAGAGACTGAGAGTCTGAGATTCAGAGCGAAAAATAACAAGGAGACAATACGTGAAAATGCGTGAATCAATGCAAACCAAATGATAACACACAAAAATATCAAGAAATGTGAAGTTAGACGCCAAACACGTTGGGAAAAATGATGAGGAGCCGATACGGGAAAATACACCGGAAAAATTGCAGAAATGGCTGAAAAAAACACCAAAAAACATGAAACATAATCCAAAGTTCAGAATGTCACTGTGTGACAGTCAGTGTCTGTGTGAGTCTCACTGTGTGTGTGACAGTCAGTGTCTGTGTGAGTCTCACTGTGTGTGTGACAGTCAGTGTCAGTGTCAGTCTCACTGTGTGTGTGACAGTCAGTGTCTGTGTGAGTCTCACTGTGTGTGTGAGACAGTCAGTGTCTGTGTGAGTCTCACTGTGTGTGTGACAGTCAGTGTCTGTGTCAGTCTCATTGTGTGTGTGAGACAGTCAGTGTCTGTGTGAGTCTCACTGTGTGTGTGACAGTCAGTGTCTGTGTCAGTCTCACTGTGTGTGTGACAGTCAGTGTCTGTGTCAGTCTCACTGTGTGTGTGAGTCAGTGTCTGTGTCAGTCTCACTGTGTGTGTGACAGTCAGTGTCTGTGTCAGTCTCACTGTGTGTGTGACAGTCAGTGTCTGTGTCAGTCTCACTGTGTGTGTGACAGTCAGTGTCTGTGTCAGTCTCACTGTGTGTGTGACAGTCAGTGTCTGTGTCAGTCTCACTGTGTGTGTGACAGTCAGTGTCTGTGTCAGTCTCACTGTGTGTGTGACAGTCAGTGTCTGTGTGAGTCTCATTGTGTGTGTGAGACAGTCAGTGTCTGTGTGAGTCTCACTGTGTGTGTGACAGTCAGTGTCTGTGTCAGTCTCACTGTGTGTGTGTCAGTGTCTGTGTCAGTCTCACTGTGTGTGTGACAGTCAGTGTCTGTGTCAGTCTCACTGTGTGTGTGACAGTCAGTGTCTGTGTCATTCTCACTGTGTGTGTGACAGTCAGTGTCTGTGTCAGTCTCACTGTGTGTGTGACAGTCAGTGTCTGTGTCAGTCTCACTGTGTGTGTGACAGTCAGTGTCTGTGTCAGTCTCACTGTGTGTGTGACAGTCAGTGTCTGTGTCAGTCTCACTGTGTGTGTGACAGTCACTAATTCACTGTTGTGCCCAATTCGCTGACGCATTTCACCCACAAATACAAAGTCAATTCACTTTACAGTGTATTCGGGAGAAGTGCTCTTTGCGACATATCAAATACACAGTGAGTCTCTGGGCCATAAACAGCGATTATTACTGTGAAGGGCAGTGTGTCAGTGTGAGGGGAGTGTGTCAGTGTGAGGGGGAGTGTGTCAGTGTGAGGGGGAGTGTGTCAGTGTGAGGGGGAGTGTGTCAGTGTGAGGGGGAGTGTGTCAGTGTGAGGGGAGTGTCCCTGACATTGGGAACAGATAAAATTATTATTTGCTTTTTAAAAAATTTGAAGGTATTATTACTGCAAAAGTGATTGACCGATTGCCCGAGTTCCGGGTCCTCTGGAGGTACTCCGCCTGTGCAGAGTCAGGAAAGTCAGGAAAGTCAGGAAAGTCGCCCAAAGTTTCGCCGACAGAGAATCGAACCCACGTCTCTCATTCCTGGTCTCCATGTCTCCAGGTGTCCATGTCTCCAGGTGTCCATGTCTCCAGGTGTCCATGTCTCCAGGTGTCCATGTCTCCAGGTGTCCAGGTCTCCAGGTGTCCATGTCTCCAGGTGTCCATGTCTCCAGGTGTCCAGGTCTCCAGGTCACCAGGTGTCCAGGTCTGGACTGTTGGTTGTGTGCGATTGGGAATGTTGAAGCTCATGTAAACACAAGTATTTGTAATTGATCTTTTAATAATAATTTGTGTCAGAAAAGGCCGATTACACTGATCATACACAGCACCAGGTGTTACACTGATCATACACAGCACCAGGTGTTACACTGATCATACACAGCACCAGGTGTTACACTGATCATACACAGCACCAGGTGTTTCACTGATGTTCTGCCTGACGTTGCGGAGTGTTCCGGGGCCGAGGATCAGTCCATCTCTGGGTATCAGTTGGAACCTGTTGGGGAATTGCAATGTGAGACCGGATTCTGCACATTAATAATCCTGGAGTCCTGTGGTTCAGCGATTAGAATATGGCCTCACACGGGAGAGACCTGGGTTCGATTCCCGGCCAAGTCAGGGCAAAATGTTGGGCAAATTTCCTTACACCACACACTGTTTATATCAGCAGTAAGTAGGAACCCGGTTGTTAGTCGATTGCTGGATCACTTTTTCGGGGATAATAATCCCTCAGAAAAATAAAATGATATTATTACAAATGTTAGGATGATTATTATTATTATTTTGCTCCTCTCAGAGTCCCTCCCACTCACCCTAACAGGATAGGTGTTTGTTGGGTCAGGCTGTCAAGTGGTTTGCGGCGAAAGCAGGTATTTGGATTGAGGTACAGATCAGCCGTGATCTAACAGGCTCGAGGGCCTGAATGGTCTCCACCTTTTCCTATTTTCCCTCACCTCATTCAAACCCAATAAAATCACTCGCTCATGTCACGACTGTTTGTGGGATGTCACCACATTCACCCAGAAAACACAGGCATTACAGGTTACCAGCAAACCCCGTGAAGCACTTTGAGACGCCCTCCTGCCATGCAATGCGCTGTGGTCGATGTTATAATAATAATAATCCTTGTCTTGATACAGCGCATTATCATGTCTTCTATAGTCTCAAGGCGCTTCACAGAATATACTGTAAAGTGTAGTGACTGTATATTTGTGGGCAAAATATGGCAGCCAATTGCACACAGCAGCGTGCCCAAACAGTCGTGGATTCAGTGACCAA